CGCCGCCACGAGTAGCCACCGATGAGATCCAGCAACTGCGGCTTTAGGGATGGTTTAGGGTTGAGGGGTTATAGGGGGTTTAGGGGTTTAGGGTTTAGGGGTTTAAGGGTTTAGGGGTTTGGGGTTAGGGGTTTAGGGGTTTAGGGGTTTAGGGGTTTAGGGGTTAGGGGTTTAGGGTTTAGGGGTTTAGGGTTCCAGTTTAGGGTTTAGGGGTTTAGGGTTTAGAGGTTCCCCTACCACCCGCCCTATAAACTACACCCCCTTGGTTCCCCCCTTATGAGGTCATTTAGGGATAGTTAGACTTAACTAATGCGAATTAAGGGGGAGCCTAGAGGGAGGTGTAGTATAAAGGGGGTAGTAAGGAAACCCATGAATTTAGAGTCCCTAAACCCTAAACATTTCGAAGAAGGCTTTTGGATAGGCTCTAGAAAACCTCCTCCTTAGGCTTGTGGGTTTAGGGTACAGGGTTAGGGAGAATCGCCGTTGCCCTCATCTGTGGCCTGTTTCAGATCCATGGTATCTCTAAAGCCCTAAACCCAAAATTCCTGAATCCTAGACCCTAAATCCCAAACCCCTCAACCCTAAATCCCTAAACCCTAAATCCCAAACCCCTAAACCCTAAATCCCAACTCCCTAAATCCCTAAACCGCAGTGTTTGTTTCGAGCAAGTCCCAACTTGCCCCTTTGGGAGGCGGGCGCGATGGAAGCAATTTTGCAATGGCCGTACCCCCCAAGCAAGGGTGGGAATTCAGGGATTAGGGTTTAGGATCTAGGGTTTAGGGCTCAGGATTAAGGATTTCGGGATTCGAGTTTGGGGTCTAGCGTTGTGGGCAAGCCCTAAACCCCAGACCCTAAACCCTAAACGCTTACAGGGTTTAGCTATTAATTCTGTCATTCGCTCCTCACAATTGCAAGTTGGGCGCTTCTGACACGGAATCCAAAACTGTTGGCCTGCTTGGAAGACATGACCACCCCCATGGATGGTTAGGGTTTACGGTTTAGGGTTTAAGGAGCGTAGGGCCTCCAAAGCCCGTCCCCTAAACATCAAAGCCCTAAGCCTAATTGTACCCTCTGAAGCCCGCAGCCCAAGGACAGAATAATCCCCCTAGCTGTACGTATCAGGTTATTTAGGTTATCCCAATTATATGTAGGTGTATATCCCCACTTACAAGTAATCACGAAGTCTTGTGAACACCTAGTTCCCATTTTCTTTCCATTATCCCTATACACTCAACATGACCCCTATAACCCCCTAAACCCTTCAGGATTGTGGGTCTCACTCCTCTCGCCTAGAGCCCCAGCTACCCTTAACCCTAAACCTTAAACCCTAAACCCACCCCACACCCTAAACCCTAAATCTTAAACCCTAAACCTTAAAACTTGAACCTTAAACCTTAATCCCTAAGCCCTGAACCCTAAACCCTATACTATGATAGCTACATGGACCCTTTGGGCTCAGGTACAGGAAGGGACCCCAGGGTCTCGAACCGCTGAGCTCAGCCGGAGTGGCCCTTGGGAATTTTTGAAAAAATTGATGTCCTGGTAATATAGGGGTTATATAGGGGTTATATGAAGGTTTAGGGTTTAGGGTTTGGGGTTTGGGGTTTAGGATTTAGGGTTTAGGGCTTCGGATTTAGGGTTTTGGATATTGCTGGGTTGCCTTCAATTCAAGGAATGTAGTAAAAGCTACCAGGATATATGGGTATATAGTAAACAATGGAATGTCGTTTATTCCTTACCTTACAGAAATTGAGGTTCCTTGACAGCAACCCAGTGTTTCTCAGAAGTTTGGGGCCCCGTTGTAATGGGCTTAAAGCATATGCATCACACCAGGTATATAGGGGTACACTGGCACTTGAGACATTCCCAGTCATGTCATCTAGTCGCGGTGAGGGGGTCTTGAGGATTGTAGGGAACATTCGAGGGGTTCCCAAAAATAGGGGTTCCTTGTATGGGATCCGTATAATAAGGGCGACAGTATATTGGGTTCTATATTGGGGTTCCTTCTATTTTAGGAAATTACCGTCAAGAGCCTGGTGTCCTACTGCGCGGTTTAGGGTTTTGGCTTAGGCATGTAGATTTGGATGGCAGGCAAGTATTGCAAATCGGTCCAAATAGGGATATCCAGAATGTGAATGCGCGCAGTTATGGTGCGCAGGGAGGATGCGTTTCTAAATGATGTAGGTGTTGCATTACCATTACTATTACTACGACTATCAATATTATTCTCATGATTACTAGAGAGTGAGAGACCCCTATGTTGGGAAAGCCCAGGTGGCCAGCAACCCCTCCGGCGAGTCCTTGCCGCAGGAAGGCCCCTCACAGGCGCCCGCACATCAAATGAAAAAGCAAATGGAACATGACATGAGCTATAGTCATAATTCCTCAAAGGGGGTTCTATAGAGGACTACTATAGGGGGTATTATATAAGGGCTATTCGGAGTTTAGACTCTAGCTCAAACGGAAAAGCAAATGGAACATGACATAAGAAGTCAGTTCATGAAGAGGCTTGTCGCG